TTTTGTTTAATTTGGGGATTACTTAACTTTTTTTTCTTTCTTTCTTAACCTTTTTTATATAAGCTGATTTGTAAATTAAAACTGTTATCAAATGGTTTCATTTTTTCTAAATGTCAGTATGAAGAAGGTGGCATTTCACAAACAAAATATTTTTAAAATACTAGTGAATATGTGTTTCCACATTTTTAAAGCCTTTCCTTTTAAATTCCTTGGCTGAGCTTATTAATTGGATCAAACTCAAATTAATTAAATTTGTCCCTCTGAAGTTCTGTTTTTAGTATGTATTGAAAATAACCTGTCATAGGATAAGAGAATAGATTAAAAAAATGAAAGTACCACTAAGAGCGCAAGGAAGCCCATGAAAGATTGCAGAAAGGGATCAATAGCAACACGCTAATTTTAATAGGTGCACGTTATGCCACTTTGTTTGACAGTGATGTGTTGAAATGAAAGCGATTCCTGCTAGATGTAGAAAATAAAACTGAAGTTTGGGAAATTCTGCACTTAGCTAAGAATAGATATTACAAATGATCTTCTGGGTGCCATGCAGACCTGCAGCACAACACACAGATTTTCTGATACATTCAAGTTAACGGAGGAGAGCATTTGGTCAGTGCTTAGTACAGCAATGCCATATTTCTGTATTGGGGTAGGAGACATGGCTACTGTCCAGACAGTGTAATCAGAGTTAAAAAATTACTACCTTCTACTCTCCATATTCAGTGTTCCTTGACATTTTTCTGGTGCATTTCAGTCTGCCTGAATGATCCTTTCTACAAAAAAGGGGCCACTGAAAACTTCCAAGTCTACCAAGGTGGCCACTTCTAGCTGTAGCTACTGGTGTGGCTGTGCTCAAAGCAATAACCACTGCAAAAGCTGAAGTAGGTTTTAGACTGGGAAAGAATCCCATGAAATTTTGTATAATAAAGGAGGAGGCAAAATCAAAATTAACCTTTCTGGCAGCAGGTGCTATGAATGTAATTTAAAGGACAAACTATTATATCGGAAAACCTTATACAAAGAGGTTTTTGCAAATACTTGCATGAGGAGTGCAAATGAGTGGCTGGAGGCAACGGACAGCGAATACTTCTCAGTCTGGTTTTATTGTTTGTGTATCTGCTATCTGACCCTGATCTAAATTTGATTCTCCGGCAGCCCTGTCGTCACCATGCATGGATTTTTAAATGTGATGCTTTTAGATGAAGTATTGTTGTGGCAGCCAAAGGAAAAGGAAAGTGGAGAGTCACAGACCTTTTATCGAGGGGACGGAGGGAGCAGGAGCTGTACCTCTGTGGTCCCTTGTGGTAACCGTACAAAAAGCAGAGGCATCGTGGTAGTGACCTATCTGCTCTATTTCTGCAATGCATTTCTGGAGCGACTTTTACTGAAAACTTCATAAAGCTTAACCAAACATCACTATTAGCCTTGTTTTATAAAGAGGGCAATTAGGAGAAACGAAGTGGCTTGCTCAGGGATGTGCAAGTCAGCAGAAATCCCGAGCTGCAGATTTTTGCCTGTGACACCATAGAGCTTCATAAACCAAAATCTGTTTTCACCTGGAGTCAGGAGTGACTGATTCATCAACAAAAGTATAATCAGACTCTTACCTCCAGGTCTGGAAGTCCTCAGGACCATCTCACTGGGCTCAAAAGAAATCACTGTTGAAGACAGAAAATGTAAACTCAGAAAACAAGTTGCCAGCAGACTCTTATGAGATGTCAAGCTGCTGAGAAAAGCTTTTTCAGCAAAGCAGGAAGACCCAGGCACTTCATGTACAGGTTTATCCCTTGGAAATATTTTGAGCCTTAGGATGAACGATGCCTCTTTAAAGAGCACGAGTAATCATTTTTTTCGGGAAGTAAAAGGTTGCTACAGATGTGCGAATACAGGTGCAGTCACTCCTTCAGGAGTTCTCAATTTGCTATTACCAAGCCTCCCAGAAGCAGCTAGAAAAACATGAACCAAGATTGGAGCTGTTGTTACGTGAGAACAAGAAATATCTGGTAAAAAACCCCACTTTGATAGTACAGGAGAGGTATGAAGGAACAGCCAGCACTTACACTCGGCATAAAGCCTTTTCAGATAGGTGCCCCTATGCATGTGGCACTTTTTTAAAAATAAAAAAAACCTGTTAAAGTCTGAAGCATTGTTTCTTAAAAAAAGAAGAAGAAAAAGAAAAAAAAATCCATATGGTTTTGCATTATTCCAGATTCACACTTAGGGCAAGGACTTGCTTTGAGAAACACAGAGGAGCACACTACAGATTGAAACCAGGTTCTTAAGTTCTCAAAAAGTACAACTTTCCACCTCTCCCCACTCCACAAAATAACCCCTGAGTTTCTCTGAGTTGGGCAGTGGCTTGGTTGCACCCATCCAGTGCACATTGCTTGTGCGCTTGGCAGGTAGGGGACAGTGTGGCTTTGCTTGTGATGGCGCCACGTTACAAGAGTGTGTCAGCCAAATCAGGCAGTGGACGGTCAAAGACTGGTCTCCTTCTGTATTTCACTACTGTATGACTTGGCCCTCACTTACTAGGTGTGCCCTCCCAGAGCCACCCAGGGCTTTGGATGACTTCTCTCCATAGCCTCATGTGTTGTAGTGCACACCATGCAGGTAGGAAGGGAATAGTTTTCTCATACCGCAGCAATGAGATTTTGCAAGCATCCATTCCTGAACAAGATAGCTATTGATTGTAGCAGAAAAAAATGAAGATTGTCAGAAGAACCACTTGGTCTCATGGTTTAGGAACTTACCCAAGAGTAACCAGAGTGAGAGGGACTTCAATCTGGATCTCTACGTTGCAAGTAAATAAACCACCAAACTGCTGGCTCATTTGCAACAAACCATGCTCAATTTTTCCTCATGCCACTGCTTGATCTTGTGTAATTAAATGTCTCTTTAAAGACAACAAATATGCAATTGGCTGTGGGTCCAGTGGTTGGCACTCACACAGCACGTCTCTGCCAAACAGCTCACCTGCTGTAACCTGTGTTCCCAGGGAAAAAAAAGCCTGTTTGGATGAAAACAGGTTTTGTTGTAGAGTGCTCATTCTCAGCCCTTGGGAAACTTACTGTAAACACTGGTTAAGCACATCACATGCACAAATTGAAAAATTGCACCTTCTCATTCAGTCTTGAATTTGATCACCAAAACATTCTATCTACTTTTGTATCGGTCCTTTTAGAAGGGCAGAAAGAAAGCAAACAGCTTATTCTTGTATTTTATTCTTTCAGCTTTTGGGAGCTGAAAACAGTGCTTCTTGCAGTGTAAGTGCAAACCTTCTTCCATGGATGTAGTTGCAGCCTGTGTTTTGTCAGTCCCATGATGAAGGAACTCTGCAAAAATAAAAGCATTCTTACTCCAGAGAGTCATGGCTTAGGATGCTTATTAGGCAGGATCTTGGCATAACATCAGAATGGAACTTATTTCTAAATATTATTACCGTTGTGCTTTTTGTAGGGTTATTATATGATATAAATATAGCAAATACAAACCTAATTATTGATAATTACGGTAACAGTATTAAAATCCTGCCTTAGTATTTATTCACTGCTGATACTAAATTCTACTTAGCAACATACAGTATAATAAAAAAAAATCCCTCAGTCTCTGTCATAAAGAGTTTCAACCTAAACAAGAGAAATTGGCTAGCAATCGGCATTCTTTAAATTCCCATTTCAGCAGGTACTTAAATACGTGGCCTATAGCAAAGGTATGAAGATAAGAATTAAACATTGAAACAGAAAACTTAAATGTTTAAATCCAGGCACTTGGCTAGAACCCTTGTTGAAGCAGGGCCTTAAATGTGCATGCAAATAGGAAAGGATCCATCTGAAAATATTTTTCAGTTGCTTTTAGTGTGTTTCTTGTATTATTTCTAAATGAGATTCGGGGTTCTCTTCTGAATTCCTTCTCAGAAAAAGGATTCATTTGGCTGAAATTTTCCCGTGCACCTGTGTAAAAGCTTGTCACAAAAATGGTGCTTTACTTTATTAGGCTTTTTTCTCTTCCTTTCATATTTTGACATCTTGCTAAAACTTGTCTTTGTTTCTCAGAAAGGAATTCATAGCTTCCAAAATATTCATGTTATTTTCCTGAGTATAAATTTATCTTGATTTAATATACTCCAGTCAAAGAATTACAGAGATAAGGACATACCCTCCGTGTGAAGTGTTGTCATCTCTCTCTTGCTGGTTGTTTCTGAAAAGGAGAAAGCTCTCTCACAGACTAAAGTGTGAGAAGGGGGTTTCTCCCTGTTTAATCTGAATAGTACAACAAATCAGGAGTTCATTTAATTTATTCCTATTAAAGTAAAGTTTTAGGCAAATATATCCCCATTTCATTCACATTTTTCTCCGTAATAAAGAATCTACCAAAATCCTTTTCCTAGAAATTTGTCAGATAGGATTTTTTTTTTTTTCCCCCAAAGCCTGAACTGGACAGAACAGCTACACAGAAAGATAATAACATGAGTGAACACTAAATGTTTCATTTAAAGGATTTTTTTTTCCATTAAGAAATATAATCAGGAGCCTAAAATCAGTGGAGGTATTCAGTGAGCTAGAGTTGAATCTATCTTTATCAAGATAGATTCAACTCTATCTTTTAGAGTTTGGTTTTACCACTTTGGTTTTACCACTACTAGGTAGTGGTAAAACCAGCATGATTTTCCTGTTAGCACCTAACAATTTCCCCTTTATTTGTAATGTGTTGGAACTGCCATACCTTATATGAGAGCCATCTGATCCCAGTGAAAGATTACTGGCTTACACGTAATGGCTTTGATGCAAGCTTTCCTGTGGCAAGTGTTCAAGGCCAGGTTGGATGGGGCTTTGAGCAACCTGGTCTAGTGGAAGGTGTCCCTGCCCATGGCAGCGGGGGTGGAACTAGATGATCTTTAAGGTCCTTTCCAACCCAAACCATTCTATGATTCTGTATTTCTATGATTTTCTTCTCCCTTGACATATTCACAAGGGGATGCATACATCCAGAGCATGATATGGATGTGTATATCTGTCCTTAGCACCGAGGTGTGTGAATGTGAGCCAAAGGATTAGAAAAACTAGCATTACTTTTTCACGTCTGTCTCAGCTTGGGAGTGCAAGGGTCCTCCCCCTGCCATGCTCTGATTGTAATCCATATGAGTTTTTAATCCAGCCCTGTTCCCACAGGCCAGTTATTCAGTCTTACAAGGCTGTAATTTCAGCTACAGAGCACAGATCAGTGTATGACAATGGAGATAAATATCCCCTTCATCTTTAGAGAGGATTTTTCCTTCCAAGATGGAAACCAAGTAACAGAGCAGAGTGGGTCTGTTTCTGCCTTTCCAGCTAGTTTTTGTGTGATTTAAGGGGAGATTTGAGCTAGCAATATTCTCAGTTTGGCATTTCTGCTAGTGACCTCAGTGGGTCACTAATCATCCCAAGTATCACCCATTCATTCAAGTTGGCAAAAGCCTCACAGAGTTGGCAGGAACCTCCTGAAAAAAAATTTCTTCATATCTAACCGGAATTTCCCTGTTACAGTTGTGTCTCTTGCTTCTTGTTCTGTCCCTGCGCACCTCCAGGAAGAGTCTGGCTCCATCTCCTCTACACACCCCACTAGGTATTGAGGACAACAAAAAGATCTCCCCTGAGCCTCCTCCTCTTTCATCATGTGCTCCAGCCCCCTCACTAGCTCAGTAACCTCTCCTGGACATGCTCCAGGATGGCAATTAGTCCACCTTCTTCTTCTCTCTTGGTATTCACTTGAGTAGCAGTAAATGGAAAGGACACATGAAACAGAGAATAGGACAGACTGCCAGATTTAGTGCAGGAAAGCACCCAGCTACTGCTTCATTCTTGGTGGGTCAAATTTGATGCCAGTGGAAAAACTGGCAGGAGGAGGCAGTTGATCAGATCCTTATTATTACCTGTAACCAGAGATGGACAGAAGGAGACATCCAGCCCATTCAAGGATGAGTTAATATGTGCATTCACAAAGCATTCGATGGCATCTTTGTTGCAGTTGCAGAGGAACTGTTCACAGGAATCCCCAGACTCTGGAAATAAAATAAAAATCCAAACAAGGTACTATTGAGATTTCTTTTCCATGTCCTTTTTCCTCCCTCTAAGGTTTGTGTCTATATTCGTTAGTGCAAACCTATTTATACTGTTCTTCTTCACGTTAAACACAAGTTTCATAGTCCAACACAGTTTGTTTTTAAAACACCATGCCTGTGCCGGTTCGTTCTGCAGAGTAGTGAGGACTGCTTTGCTGCCTCTAGTTTTTCCATGGAAAACTTAACCCAGCTGATACTGAGTTAAACATTTCACAGACTTCATTAAAATTTTCCTCCTAACCTCAAGAAGTCATAGTCTGCAAGCCAAGCCTTTCAGGTAAGATGCATTTTGCTCCTTATAAAGGGTATGAAACAGTTTCCCAGGAAATACTCTTTTCCCACTTCAAAACCTTCTACCTTTCACGGTTTAAAAAAAAAAATTGACCTTTCGGAGCTGTTTCACATTTTTGATGGGGAATATTATTTTTTTTCTTCCTTTTTTTTTGAACTTTTGAACAAAATGTTTTCTGATTATTAAGTATGGAAAGAGTTAAAAAAGCACTGTTCATGTTTAAAAGCACTTGGACCTTTATAGATTGGCCTAAATAGCAAAAATTGTTTTAATTTGAAACAAGAAAAGGAAATTGGATCAGATTGTTGCTTAAACAAGCTGTAAGGGTATTGGTTTGGGGATTCTGCTCCTCTTTGCTGGTATCCTCAAATCATATTCTAGCGTATAGTCTTTTCTGAGAGTCAATACTTGCTGAAAAATTACATGAAAATTGATTAGGCATTAAAAAGCCCCACTCCACACTTGCCAGTTCTGTATTAGTATTACATGGAGTAGCTCCTATTATAATGGTATGGTCTCTGCCCTCGTTGGTGATACTGTTGCATCTGAGAAGTGCATATGACCCTGTGAGCAAAGAATTTAATCCCTCAAAGTATATAAAAATCAGGCCTTGAAGCTTCAGAAGGGAACTGTTTTTCAGGTCTTTCCCCAGCATCCGCTGCATTTCTGATGTGTGGAGATATCTCAAGTAATGCTTAGTGGTCCTGCAAAGTCAGGAAAACTTCAGCAAGAGGCTGCCTATTAGAGGAGCCCTGGCAAGTTTCTAGTTATTGGACTTCAATTTTCCTGCCTAGTTGGGCTTTGATGCCTCTGTGTATTCCTATTTCCACTCACCCCTGAGCAGAACACTTGAGCCCTTAAAAATCTACATGTGGAAGTGGTTTCTGCTTAATTTAATTTAATTTTAATTGACTTTTGGTAGATAGACCAGAACAAACTTCTCAGTCATGGTGAGGCTCCAGTATTACGCTCTTGCGAGAGGTTAATCTTACCACAGGTCAGGTTTTCGGTAGAGCAGCTGACGTCCGTAGAAATCTTTGATGGATCCCATGTGCACTCCATCTCCATTGCTTCTTCGTAGCATTTGCGGTGCTGGAAACAGCAGCTTAAAAAATGAAATAACACAAAGTTTACACAATTTATTTTCTGTTCAAGATCAGACTACAATGCTTTCATGTCACTCTTACACAAGAAGGCAGAAGATGCCAAAAGAGAAAAAAAGGTCCTCAGTGTGGTCCCTAGACACAGGAAAGGCTGAGTACTGCTTCTCCCTGAGCCAGCCTAGTGGGATAAGTACAGCTGGATGCAAAACTCAGTGGTAGGAGCAGGTCTGCGTGCTGTGGGAGACTACACTTAACATTCCTCTCCTTCTGCAGTATCTGAGTTCTTACAGCTCAGCACTAGAAGTCTTGGCTCCAGCCCTGCCACAACCTTTCTCACTGCAGATTTGGAGAACTACACTGAACCTGGCGCTCATGGAGTGTTAATGCCTCTGCAACGCCTTGTGAATCCCTGTGTCTCATTGAGACTATATAAATATGTGCCTTGTTATCCTCTGTTTCCTGTACTTTCTCTTCTATGCAACAATCAGAATTAAAATGCACCATTTAGCCATGGGAAGGGGCCATGAAATGTTTTTCTCACACTGCAGTAAAGCAGCTTTCTCCTACCACCACACAACAAAGGCAGTTAGAAACCTTGCATTTTCCTACACCCCTGCTGTCATGCAAACCCCAAATGCCTGCATGACCACTTTAGCTGTGAATAGCAATGAAAAGTCAAAACAAGCTCTTCATCAATCATCTCTTTTCTTCAGCTGTTTTTGAGCAGGCAAGCCATCTACTTCTATATTATTGCAACATCTGTGTGCGCTGACTTCAGCTATAAATGAAACACCAGTAAAACACTCAGTCATCATTTACCCCATATAAGATTGTTACATAAATTAAGCAGGGGCTTGCTGTTAGATTTAGACTGAAATATCCTCATTTCAGAGAAATGGACTCAGAACATGGGTCTGTTATTGAATTGCCATTGGTTTTGACCATGCCAAATGCAAAGACTACATTAACGCTCAAAACCAGCATCTGGTGCCAAGAAGGATTAAATTGCAACAATGATGTAAGGAGTTAACTTTAATTAAGCTCATGTGAGATTTTCGTTGAAGACACAGTGAATGTGTTATTACACATCACCCGCAGCCCTGCATAGGCACTGAACCAGTGGACAGAAGCACTCCTGCACTGATCAGAGCAGGTGGCAAACACTTGCCCCTTGCAGGCTCCCTTCTAGGCTATGCATTCACTTTCTCACTTCCTATATTCAGGAAGCATTTAATATTTAATCACTTACTATATTAATAAATAATTATTACAATATTTAATATGTCCTCACAACCAAGGAAGCAGTCCAAGTTCTAACTGCGATCAGACTTTTGATTTGGTGAAAGAAAGACATCAGTGATGAGGTTTGCTCTGGTTGCCAGCAGAGGATCAGAGCTCATGAATAGCATTATCCCAGCTGATGGTTTCAAAGCCCAATTTCTTGCACTCCAGTGTCTCTGCTGCCTGTTAGTGGTTTTGCTCCCTGCTGTAACCTGGTCTAGGAGACTGCAGGAACATATTGAACAAAAGTGAGAGCAAATAGCATTCAGCAGAGAGGCCCTGATGGTTCCTCTGCACCACAAACACTGCTGTGCCTTGTTTCAGAGGAGAGGCTGAAGTTTGTAAGCTCCATCAGGAACAGAGTTTCAAACATATAGCTGATGAAATGTCTCAAGACCCACTCCTGTCTCTGCCTGAGGTCTAGTGAGGTGTCAGCACCTGAAAGCTCCTCTAACTGCATAATTAGTCTGATACAAACTCCCTGCAGTTCTTGTTTATTTAGAGCATCACAATTACATCAACACTCAATGCAACAGTTAATCAGAAAATTTACTTGCCTTCCCTTTGTGAGCAGGGGATTGTAAGATATGGATTGTCCTTTGGGCATGCTTCTCTTTCCCCATGGACTATGGAGGTAGGCTAGGCTCCTAATTTAGATATGACAGTTAGCTACTCTGGGAAATGGGAAAAGATTGGGCTTATGGGCACAAACATTTTCCAATGCCTTAAAAACTGACAGTGAGATGTTCAGTCCTTTTTTATGGAACAGAAATGGCAGTGACAAAATATGAGGTTTGCAAAACTAGTTTCTAAGAAAAAAATGCAACACTGTGGGAATTGTGTCTGAGAAAGACACGTAGCAGCCACCTGTTTGGAGGCTCTCTTGAACCAAGGGCGTATCTGTGTCAGTGGCAAAACAATAATCAGTCTCCATTTACTGCAAACTGCAGTGGGGTTGCCATGCTGCTAAGGAAACCTCACCGCAGGACTGCTAACCAATTTGTAAACACAAAGTGATTCTGTGGATGTTTATCAGAACAAAACTGCTGATAGATCATTCTGCTGTTCCTGTATTTATGCTGCTCTGCATTAAAATGAAGCTGAGTGAAGCGAAAGCCCAGGTGCTCAGCTCTTCGGGTATCAATCCATTGAATTGACTCGAGCTCCCATTTCAGCATGTCATCATGAGTGTTCAGAAAACCTTTCTTAAGAAGTCCCACGGCTTTTTTCCTGTAGCAAGGTTAGATCTTCATTTTCCCAGCCATCCCATGCTGGAAAGTGGATGGATTAATTTCCATCTAGCTATAGGCATTAGCTCTTTCTGAGCCATTGCTGTCTTCACTCAGGGAATTAATACATTACATTCCATTGTTGGAAAGAACTTTTTTCTATTTCGACATGGATGGATCTTGATTCTCTTTGAATTTCTTTTTATACCTCCTGCTGGCATAAGTGAACAACTATTTGATTGTCCTGGCCTGAGATTACATTTTTTCTCACTAGCCCAGTCAAGGTCTGGGGCAGTATCCCTCCAAAGCACAGAGTGAAGTTTGGATGGTTTTGTTCCTGGTGCATGGTACTGGGAAGAGTCAGCGAGCTACATTGTTCTCTGTGCCTGGATGCTCTAGTGTCTTACGACCTCAGCATGTACACAGGTATTCAGGGCAAGATCTGCTTAACCTCCTAACTGCCACTTGAACTCGTACTTAGCTGTAACCTGATTCTGTTGATGCTTAAATCCCCCTCAGATGCCAACATTTTCATTATAGTCCACTATGAGCTTATATTGCTGGTGTATTACACAGCTCCCGATACCAACAGTTTGGTAAGATTGTAAACCCACTAAACTGCTCAGATTAATGCTCTCCCACCCACCTTATTAACAGGCTCTCCAGTTTTTGGCACCGATTTAACTGTGAGACAGAATTCCCCAGTATAAAGAAATGAATGAGGTCTTGTTCACAAAGATCTGTTCAGAATTGAGAGACCTCTGGGTAAGATATGTCAAGGAGATGGGTACGGTGTTTACTTATTCTATTGCATTAGTGGCCACTCTTTGCAACCAGTTTAAACCAGCTGTGCCACCAGAGGTGCACTGGTGGAATTATATGCAGGTGTGGAGGACTCTGCTTTTATCTGTAGGATGGGAGTATTTCGCCACATCGAAGTGTGGGGAAATAAAGAGAGACTCTGAGCTATGAGAAAAAAGAAGCAAGTGGATCATCACATGCTGTAGATTATGACCACCCCGACTTCATCTGTTTCCAAGCCATGCTGTAAAGGCAACTGGTACAGGGTGTTGGCCCAGCAAAAAGATAGTGCTCACCAGCAGGTAGGAATAACACAGGACAGGGCTGGTAAACCAGAGTTGAAGTTATCTTTTGTAGGTCATATCAGATTCAGGTTGCAAGTGAGTCATGACTAGATTAAACAGAGCCACATGGGGTGGGACTTACTTACCCTCTGAATAAATCTTCTATTTTTTTACAACTGCCCTTAAATCGTTTAGGCAAGCATTATGCTTTGGGTCATCAGAGCATGAGGGCACTGACAGCCAGCCAGGGCAGAACAGGACATCTCATGAATAAGACTTACTCATCAGCTTCATCCACGGGGAGCCCTTCCATCTCAAACCGGCAAGAGCAACCATAGTCTTCAAAATCCCTGGGACAAAACCCAGTAACACACTTCATTTTGTTCACAAAGTTGAGCAGGGCAGGGAAGTTAGTGAAGATGGACTGTAACCAGGTGAAGTGAGAACCCAGGCAGTCTGGAAAGAAAACAGCCGTAAAATGCATGGTAAATGGAGGTGAGCCAGGTGTGGGTCACACATAGGTGATGTTTGCTTGAACGCAGAGCCTAAACAAGGCAGTAACACAGGGACATTGAGCAACGCTTGACACTCAGCAGTATTTAGTATTGTAATAGTCTTTGGGGAAATCTACAGCCTCAAAAATCCCTGTTCCTCTTCAGTATAGATAAAAGCAAACTCCATGGGATTTCTATTCAGTGCTCAAGTACAACTGGAACACATACTTACCAAAAAATAACGCAACACTTTCCACATTTTGAAAGACTCCATTGAAGAATGTGGCATTGCCTAAATGAAAAAATAAACAAACCACATTTCTTTTTAAAAAAGTAAATGACAAGAACTGTGCCCAGAGTGCCCCTGGTTTTGCTTCAGTTGTTAAACCATTTTGAGATAAGAGTTACTAGCTATTTGCTAACAGCACACTTCCCTGCAATGCTTCTGGAGTACGAATGATCCCCCATTGCCATGCAATATTGTAGAGAGTAAAGCTTAAGCCATTCTTACTCAAGATTCTTTCAGGTGTGTCAAGAAGCTCTGGCAGGAAAATCTCCAATTCTTGGCCACCTACCTCAGCAAACAAATTTGAGAAGAAAAAGAATTAAAAATAAAAAAAAACAACAAACCAACAACATATACTTCATTATGACACATACACTGCAGGCATTTTGAATTCCTTCCTGCACAAGCAAGCTGATTTACCAAAGCCATGAAACACTTGCTTAGCTCCATCCACACCCAGGAAAGCCCAGAAATATACTGGTAAATCACATGGACTTCAGCTTAAAAATCAGTCCTCTGTTAAACTGAGGTATTGCTAGTGAGAATGTGCTAACCCTTGTGTTCCTGTGCTCTTCTGAACAGTAGCACTTACTGGGATAAATCAGCAGAATTGTATAAAGTTGTTTTAGTTGCCCAACTACTCTCACTGTCCCAAATGTTTCTACTGTGTTACCCTGTGCTCTTCACTTGTTTGAAGTCAAGAAGTTTGGTTTTTCTGACTCCTTATTGCCTATTGTCTTATTACCTCCCTTCTATCACTATTTCTTTCTTAAGTTAATGATCTCTTTTTCCTTTTGAAGATGCTGTGGTATATTTTCCACACTTTTATTTTTTTCTGTTTGCCATGTCCTGAATTAGGGTGAAATCCAATACTTGTTCTCTCCCTTCCCATTTTTTTAAACTTGTTCTTATCTTCTGCACAAATTTCGGAGACAATATGTTACTCTGGATTTATTTAAATTTAACTTCTTTTTTTTAAAGATAATAAGTCAAGGGTATTTATTGGCTCAAGGATCTAAAAACTGAGGAAAAAAAGTAATGTTAATTTCATGGCATAGCTTATGTCTCAGAATAACTGGCATTAGGAAAGCTGTCCATTTTCTCTACGAAAGATTCTGGGAAAGAGCTGACAGTCATCTTGCTAATCTGTTACTTTTTCCTGCAATAAATATAGGTGTAAGAGAGTAAAATGTAGTAGTGGGTGTTTTAGAGATAAGGCTTAACTCTATGTTTAGCAAAGGATTAGAAAAAAAAAGGACTTTTTTTTTAGATCGTATATAAGGGTGTTCTCAGGATTTCTACAACTTTTGTGGAGTGAACAGGATGTTCATGGTAACAGTCATATGCCTCCAGCAATTCATTTCTCAAGTTTCGTGGCAGAATATGGATACGGGATTGAAGGAGGTAGGAAGAGGTGCTTCCTCTTATGTTATTCTTTTCCTGAAAGTCTTGGTCACAACAAAAAGCTTTTAGATGAACAGCAATCCATCAGAAGTGTCCTTCATTGCAGCAGGTCCGAGGGGAACGGACTGCTTTCCACTAACCAGAAAAGATCTCCCGATAAAGGCTGGTCTTTTCCCAGGACTGGAACAAGTCTGTTGAAAGCTTGACAGCCATGAGGAATTCAGATTCAAGTGAAATAATGGTGTGCCTTGCAAAATAAATATCATTGAATGTTATATATTTGTACACATGCTTGCTAAAGAAAAACTGCCCCTTATATTTTGGCTTAAAGCCTGTATTTCCTCTGCAATGACAACCATCCTTCCCCCAAGCCATGTTCCACCAAGTGCATCTAGACCCAGGTTTGACACACTGCGTAACACCATGGCTCGAACTCAGTGTCTGTTGATGAATAGCCATTGATCATTTAGTCCTTTCAGCAAAATTTTGGAAAACATAAAAATCCCATTGAGTTGAAATGAGACAGAGGAGACAATTGATAAAGCCATGTTACAGAACTGCTGGAAGTTGTGATTGCTCCAGCGTCCTTCACTTGCACTTAGTTCTTCTCAGCAAACTTAATTTGCACACACCCAAATAACACATATATGTTTGAAGCTTCCCTGGAGAAAAATCTCTACCACAGGGTCAGCAACTTGGTAAACCTTTGGCTCTTCTAATCAAAGAACAATATTTCTAATTGTCACTAAGTCCAGATCTATGAACCAATGTTTGCTAACAAGATTGCTTAATTTTGTTTAAATTGTGGGGGGAGGGACAAAGAGAAAATACTTTCTGGATTAATTATGCTCTTTTCTTCTTTTGCTATCACGTCTTTTGGGGCTATCAGTCCTACGTTGTTCCCTGTATAGTCACTGAAATATTGCACTACAAAAATCAATCCTTTAAACCTCAGAAGAATGCGGGGAGATCAAATTCTCTCGCCTTTCTCTAAAACCTGCTAAATGACTTGGCACATGTCCTGAGGAGACTTGTATGATACATCACCTCTCGGGTTTTCCAGTTGTATACCTTATCCACCGAGTTTCTTTCAGCATTCAGATACATATAAAAATGTTTCTGGGCTGTGTCTGTGATGTTGCTACTCTGAAAATGCTTTTCTGAAGTGTTATCTGAAAAAAGGTCATCCAAAAAAATCAGTGCGCCTCCGGTTGTTTGTTGCAATTGTGGTTAATTAAAATGTCATAATATAAGGCATGGACACAGTCATTATAATCCTCGGGGAACAGAAACCTTGACTGTGCTGGGAAAAGTCGGGGTGCAGCAAACCCAACCTATTTGATTTATTCAAGGTAAATCACATTAGCTCCTCACAAAGATGCTAGTTCATGCACAGATATTTGCTTCAGTCTCAAAGCAGAGATCAGCCCAACAGATCTCACATAAATATAAATCAATATATCCTCTCCAAAACTAAAAATGGTAACATCTTAAATCTTTGTGCTCAGATTGTGCTTAGCTGGGTGAAAAAAATCTAAAAACTGTGGCACAGCCTTTTGAGGTTTGGGGGGAAATCTCTTTCAAACATTATGTCAGAAAAATTTCTGTGTCCAGATATTTCTAAGTGCACCAGATATTATCAATATATATAGTCCCCTTTACACCTGAGGTCTAAATACCCCCTTATTTTTTATGAATAAACGGTGTAGGTATTTTGGCATTCTCTATCACTGCAGTGGGAAATGCTAATATTCTTACTGATTTCTATTTGTATAGTAGGAGTCTTAAGGATCAGCTTCATCAATATATTTTAGCCCATGTGTTTTGTGTTAGACCTGTTTCTTTGCTGACTTCTAATGCACAAACCCCTTAGAAGAGAGGCAACTGGTGAAGTTATAGTAGGTCAGTGCAGAGTTTTGTCTACGTGTCCTGGTTTTGGCTGGGATAGAGTTAATTTTCTTCCTAGCAGCGGGTACAGTGCTGTGTTTTGGATTTAGCATGAGAATAAAGTGATAACACACCGATGTTTTACTTGTTGCTAAGCAGAGTTTATACTCAGTCAAGGACTTTTCAGCTTCCCATGCCCTGCCAGTGAGGAGGTGCACCAGAAGCTGGGAGGGAGCAGAGCCAGGACAGCTGACCCAAACTGGCCAAAGGGATATTCCATACCTGATGTCATGCTCAGTATATAAACTGGGGGGGAGTTGGCCAGGGGGCATTATTTCAATTATTAAACTGTTCTTATCTCAACCCACGCGAGTTTTCTTACTTTCTCTTCCGGTTCTCTCCCCCATCCCACCAGGGAGGGGCGGGGGATGAGTGAGTGGCTGCGTGGTGCTTAGTTGCTGACTGGGGTTAAACCACAACACTATGCCAAGGTGCTGAGCTTTCTTTTCCCTTTAGAAATAACCCCATGGAGTGACTAGAAATGGTGTTAGACCTTCTAAGAGTCCTTCTTTTCACCTGCACGCTGCTACTCTTAATGACATTCCTACACAGTGCAGGGACTACAGAAATTTGAAATGTTTGCCCATCCCTGTCACAAGGAAGGTCATTCACCCATGACAATAAAATCTAAATAGTTATATGAAGAAAAAAAAGTATTCATAGTAAAATTTGAAGGAGGAGCTTTAGCTGAACATGAGTTACATTTCAGGATGCACTGAATGGTTTGGAGTATTTAGACAATACACATGTATTTAATGAGTAGAATCTCTTTATATGTAACTTGTAACTTTTTTGGAGTCTAAAGGACTTAAATAATGACCAAATGCTAGCAGAAGGGAAGTTGCAACTTTTTTGTTATATTTTTAAGCCCACTAAAAGTTTCTTGCATCACTACAAATGCTGAGAAAAATATGTTTTATAAGTACTCCATAGATAAACTTATTTAAGTGCATTTGGGTGTTGAATGACTAGATTTGAGGGGACAGAAGGCATGCTGCCAAAGGATTGTTTCCAAATGCACATACTTAAAAGAGTATTTAGGCATAAATGTCAAATAATCATAAAAATACATTGCCACTTACCACTGTACACCACCATTGACATAGATACCAGAAGAATTACAATCATTTTTTGTTTAGTCCAAAGACAAGAAAAAGTCATACAGCAGACTGGTGTGCCTGGTGAGTTAAGTAAAATATTAGGCAGAATGTTATCTCTTGAAGCTGGGAGTGAGAAGACATCAGCTTAGAAAATCATTCTTTTGTAGCCTGGCCATGTTTCTGCTTGATGCCATTCAGTTTTTACCCTTATCAGAGCAAATGCACATATTACAACAATGATGAGCCTTATGTATCCTTCAAATTTTACCAATGTCCTCTATAAACCTGACTAACAATGTCTGTTTTGGTGTTGCTTTAGGTGAGCCAACAGGCTCTGCCGAAGTGTCACAGACAGGGGAAGTCCGTTTAGCAATAAAATGGTGTACTTGAAGTTTCTTTTGTTTTGCAGACAGTTTTCACATCTTACTTGATCTAACAGGATGTTTAAACAATTCTTCACATTCTGTTTAAATGCAGATATTGTGAAACACTAATTGTGTAAATGAAGAGGCATTCTGGGATTACTTCTATTGTACCTAGTTAATCTGCAATCCATTATATTAGCTTGCTTCACATCACAAAAATCTCTCCCACTTTATAGTCAACCATTTACTGTAATCTGTGTTGAGACTGATCTCATGCATCATATATTTTCCTAATAATAAACACTGTGTTGTTTGGAGATCTTCAAGTTCAGGGTGTGCTTGTCCTTACAGAAATGTGTGTAAAGAATTCTTCCGAAGCTAAAAGCCTTGCACTAGTACTCATTAAATGACAGATAATAGATTGGTTTTGAACCACAGTGACAGTTTACCCTAAATTTAGAATGATTTTCGAAGTCAGGCATGGATTTTTTTACAGCCAAATAAATGAGCATTTATTTATCAGTTTTCAAATATGTATCTACTGTTGATTAGCTGCTCCCCTAAGGTCAAATATTGCATTTATTTCTATTAAAAAATCTTGTAGTGAGGTTATAAATCTAGCAGCTCTAAATATTTATAGTCCACTATCCCAAATCTCTTACTTACACTTTAGTCTACAACTCCACAGTCCCAAATAGCTTATTCTACATTGTTTTATTCCTGATTCCTGTATTATAGAGTGCATCTAGAAAGGCTTACCTTGAGGGATATTATTCGAAAGCAGTTGGATGGAGGACAAATGGATTTCAACAAAGCCAGTACTAAGTTATTTATACCCACTTGGATATACACCTCACCCATGTGATCACTTCCTTTATCAAACCCACTTCAACATTTATTAATTAATTCTTCCATGAGATTCCTTAGAGTCATTATGCCCACGGTGTATCATCTTAGTAATATAGCTCCAGCCATGTAAAGGATCTATACTGAGAAGTCTGTTCTGCAGGTGCACTCACCGTATAGTAACTTTCCCTAATATTCTTGGCTCTAATTAAATAACAATCATTTCATTGTTATTAATCAGTCACAAAATCTCTGGGGCACATGAATATGGCTTTAATAGCTTAGCAAGAGGTAGTGTTCCATGATGAAAGATGAGTGAAAATTTATACAGCTTTAAACACTGGCATTCCTCAGGGTTGAGAAGTCTGCTCTCGTCCATCCACGGTGGCTCTGATCCAAAGCTGAGTGAAATCGGGGGAAGGCTGAGTCAATGAGCTTTGGGAAGGCTTCTCCTCATCGGGAAGTTGTGCTTTCTGCCAGGGTCAGACACAGCTACCCTTCAAAGAGCCCATCAACAAAGGCAAACTGTCCACTGAGTTTTAGCATGGAGAAGTGAGAAGTCTGACAAATTGGGAATTGTAAAAATACTTATGTGAACAAAAGGCTTGGCTCCTCCAAGGCCCTGTGAGCTACATTGTCTTCAGAAAGGCCCTTGACACTGTCTCCCATAAGATCCTCATAGAGAAGCTGTTGATATATGGGCTGGATGAGTCCAGTGAGGTGGGTTGAAAACTGGCTGAACGGTGGTGGCCAGCAGTGCAGTCTAGTTGGAGGCCAGTGACTAGCAGCGTATGCCAGTGGTCAATACTGGGTCCACTCTTGCTTAACATCTTCATTAATGATCTGGATGCTGGGGCAGAGTGTACCCTCAGCAAGTTTGCAGATGACACCGAATTGGGAGGAGTGGCTGATACACCAGAGGGTCATGCTGCCATCCAGAGGGACCTTGACAAGCTGGCGAAGGGGGCCAACAGGAACTTCATGAAGTTCAACAAGAAGTGCAAAGTCCTGCACCTAGGGAGGTACAACCCCATGCACCAACACATGTTGGGGGCTACTCAGCTGGAAAGCAGCTTGGGAGAAAAAGACCTGGGATTCTGGTGGACACCAAGTCGAACTTGAGTAAGCAGTGTGCCCTTGCAGCAAAGAAGGCTAAGGGTTTCCTCAGCCGCACTAGGCAAAGTATTGCCCCTCTACTCAGCACTGGTGAGGCCACACCTTGGAGTACTGTGTCCAGTTTTGGACTCCTCAGTATGAGACAGACACGGACAAACTTGAGACAGTCCAAAGAAGGGCCACAAAGATGATTAAGGGACTAGAGCATCTCTCATATGAGGAGGGGCTGAGAGAGCTGGGACTCTTCAACCTAGAGAAGGCTCAGGGGGATCTCATCAATGTCTATAAATACCTGAAGGGAGGGTGCAAAGAGGGCAGAGCCAGGCTCTTTTCAGTGCTGTCCAGTGACATGACAAGTGCCAGTGGGCACAAAATGAAACACAGGAGGCTCCCTCTGAACATCAGGAAACACTTTTTTTTACTGTGAGGGTGACCGAGCATGGGCACAGGTTGCCCAGAGAGGTTGTGGAGTCTCTCTCCTGCTCTCCTCATTTGGGGATATTCCAAAGCCACCTGGACATGGTCCTGGACAGCTGGCTGTAGGTGGCCCTGCTTGGGCAGAAGGGGTGGACCAGATGACCTCCTGAGGTCCCTTCCAACCTCAACCATTCTGTGAGTCTGTGATTCTGTATCAATTCAGTACTGACATGTTGCCAGGAAAAGGACAGGGTCCAGTCATAACATTTCTGTGACCAGCCCTATCAAGGAATTTTGCAGAAGAGTGAAACATGGCAGAAATTATGCCTTAATGATATGAAAATTCATTTTCATGTGAGTTTTGGTGCTTCCAGTTGGAGTCTCCAGGGATTGCCCAAAGTACATTTTTACTGCCTTAACGAACATTTTCAGCCTGACAAATCAGAGTGGGCTTGGCTGGGCATAACAATAAAGATGAGTCCTCTGAGATGCTGATTTGCCCATATGCCACCATCATTTCTGTACTTCTGCCAAACATGCACAGAAGCTTTGCAGGACTGAAAACCCTGGAATATGGAAAAAAAAAATTTTTTTTTGAGGTCAGCCAATGTGTTCGCTTTTTTCATGGAGCCTTGCTTTCTCATTCCTTCTCTTATTTCGTAGTTTTTCTCATTAATTTTCATTATTCTTCTGGGAAAGCCAAACAGTAAGTCTTAAACAACTGTGACAAGAAGATTGTCATTTGGGACAGGTACCATTAATCCTTTCTCAGCTCCTTTCACAAGACACCAATAGGTATGTGATACCTTCTAATTCTCTCCCCATGAACACGCTCGGGCAGTAGCTCTCAGCCCTTTCCAAGACCTTAGAGTGGAGATGGCTGTGACCTACCCCCAGTGCCAGGCACGGCCCAGGCACCCCCTATGGCACTATAGAGAGGTTAGCACTCTGTCCAAGGACTTGTATTCCTGCAGGAAAAACAGAGTGATTTCTTATAAAGACAAAAGTGTCCTTTAGGATGGAGACCAGTGCTACAACTCAGAGCTGATTAAGTTCATTAAAAAAATAATAAAATGATTTTTTTAAAAGGGAAGCCTTTTCCAAAAATATTTTCCTGTTGTTATTATTGTCATTTTATTCAAACCTAAAAAAGCCCAGAAACTCAAACTGACTTTAATCATTGTTTTCTCCCTTTATGTTCTTGTTTTCATGTCCTTCTTCCTGAGTTCTCAGAAAACCTAGTGATAAAAATGTAAGAAACAGTATATTTTTTTTTTAAATCAAGTCTTCAGGCTGTAAGATGTTTTTGTAAGATTTAAAAGCAACAGTTGCACAAGGGTGTAATTCACCTAGCTCTTCACAGCAGAACTGATCCTGCTTTGGGTGAGGAGAGGTGCTGCAGAGCGAGATCTCTCCACAGCATTGCAGTACATTGGCCATGTTAATATTCCCAATTTATACATTTACTGTATCAACATTCCTATTTCTTCCACTGGCCTAACTTTCAGTATCAACTGTAATTGGTACTGCACCAATCTATCCTGCTCCTTGATGTGACAGAAATGCTTCCGTCATGCTATTGGGCACAACAGTGAAATGTATTTTGGAAGAGGGCTGCTGCATCCCACGTCTCCCTGGAGGCAGCATTCCTTATGGTGCCACCTTTCTCTTTGGCTTTATATTAATTTGAACACATATTTCTTCAGTGAAACATCAATGTGCACCAGCTGTAGTGCAGATAATCTTTTTTTAAAATATTAATGGCTTGATGAAGTACTTTGGGTTGATAGTAGCATCATATTGCTGCAGTGTAGCAAAATATAGGATCATGCAATTTGTTTGGTTATTCTTTCCTTTTTTAGAACTGGCTTTTAGTTCACCAGAGATGCATACAAAGACGGAAATTAATCTTGGTGAGCTCACGCAAATATATCACAGATGGAAAGTACAAGAGGTGTGAACATTTCCTTGGTCGAGCTCTGCACTAGATGAGTTGTTGAAATAATGGGAGACTCTTGATTTGGAATAATGGATAATCTGCATGTGTTTGACACCAGGAAAAATCCTTTTTGTCTTCAGTATTTCAGGTTGCTTTTAAATAATTTTGTATTTGTTCGATTACTTTATCTTAATTGTAAATAAAACTAGAATAAACTATTGTATTCACTAGCCAACCATATAAATATCCTTTATAAAATACAATTTTTAAAAGCCTTTCAATGCTTTTATTGCAGTTACATCACTTGTATAAAATACATCTGATTTTACACATTATTTTTACAATGCCTTGGAGGAAGACACATTTCTAGGTTAACATCTGGTTAATAGCTTGTCTTGTTACAAATATTTGCAAATAACATGTTGCATCCTGATTTTTACACTAAGAAATGAGAGAGACAACTAAAACTGCCACCAATCTTACAATTTGCAGTAAAATTCCTCAGTGCTCTAGACCAACGTACAGATGTTTTTAAGGCATTTTTGTTTTAATGCTGGAAAAACACAAAAAAAACTGTCATCAGACGAGGTTTTATGAAGAAAATATTAAAAACATACATGAAGGTTAAATAATCTTTTTTTTTTAATCCCTTAAAAAAATCATTATCAGATAAAATAGCTATCCGATAAAAGACAGCAATTATTCTGTGGATATCTAAAACTTTTTGTTATACCTTCATAATAAGGTATGTAGAGATACAAAGAGAAAATATACTTACTGTGGGAGTAAGCAACTCTTTTGACTCTTTCACAGACATAATTTGCATTTTTCAAGAACCAGGAATAGTATTCAACACAGTACCTAAAGGTGTAGTTAAAGTTAGGAGAGTAGTAGCTTGTTATCTTTCATAAGCACAGCTGTATGCATAACATATTGCTAATATTGAATATGGAAATAAAAAGCTAGTTTCTGACCTCAATGATGTCATTAGATATTTGGAAAAATTCAGCTAAGCTTTATTCACTTAGTTTGAATACTGGAAGCCAGATCAGGTATTGATCGGTGCACTGGGGACCCATTTGGGTCTCAGCCAGTAGCCACAGACTCTCAAAAATTGAAAATTGTCATTTGAAAAGAGCCCGATGGAGTATTTTAAGCAGAGAGAGAGAGAGGGAAATTAGTGCCAGTTTTTACCTCATGGCTTCCTTTCTGGAATATCTTCTCTGACCAACACAGAGGCACAGCTGAAAAAACCTACAGAGCTCCATCACACAGGGATTGATCTTTTGCACTATAAGAGTGACAGGAGGCGAGGTCACACGGGACTCTTTGAGGATCGCCTGTGGACACCCTAGGAAAAAATACAACTCCGAACTAGTTCAAATACTTGTCCCATTACATTTCTTGCAATGCCTTATGTGGGCTATGAGAAACATGCAGATTAATAGGCTCATGTAGGTATCTTAAAATCAAATCCAAGTGAGTCAGATAATAGAAAAGAAAACAACACACAGCCTGCCAGTTGCTTGAGTGAAAGCACAAATATTCTCTTCAATTTACTATTATTTATCATTACTTGAAACCACGTTGTTTTTATTTATCACAAATGTAAGGAACAACTCTAAAGATGTCATTCATTTATTGTTACTTGTTTAAGTGGAGGCTCAGTTGCCACTGAAGCATCAGCTTTCCACAGTGCAAAACAGCAAGACAAAGAACAGCACTGTACACTTGTTATATTTGATATTTTATATACACATATGCTACTTTAATGAAAAATTCACTTCCAGTTCCACATGCTTCCCTACGCCCACCCTCTAAATCTGGATCCTAGATTAAATATGACTGAGCTAATAAACACTCTCACTGCTTTTTTTGTCACTTTTTTTAGCCTCATTAACAAAATAAGCATGATTTATGCAGAGGTTATGGCTTTCTCTCTGTCCATCTCTGTCTGTCAGTTTTCCCCTTCTTGATTCTAGTGACTTGAATAATCAGCTAATTTCAGCCCAATTTTAGGGATGGGTAAAGATCCTCTGGATAAATACATTCTTACAGGTGTCATGAAAACTGACAAGTAACTGGAGGAGAAAAGGTCAGTTTTTGCCTGTACTGAGGGGAAGGCAGGAATAATTTCTCCTTTTTACTATTTGTTTGCCAGGAGCCAGCTGGTTAATCAATGTTTTTTCCTTTAAGTGACCACCATTATATTATTTTAACTTAAGAAAAATGCAGGGAAATGGTGTACCTGGGGATGGACTCCCTCTTCCCCTTGCTTGAGCCAACTAAAAGGAAAATACCTAGTTTGTTCATTAAATCTTCTGCAGTCAGCAGCAAGAGATAAACATTTGCACACCAAACATTTCATCCTGCCAGCAAATGTAGCTGTGCCAGACTGCAGAAAAAGCAATACTACAGAATAGGTGATGGCAGCTTATAACAAAATCCTGAATTGCTAGGTGGTTTTTCAGCGTCAAATACAATCTCTCTTCAGACTCCCTTTCTGCTATAGAAAAGAGAAATGAAGGCAAGGTGAAAATGGGGGAAATAATTGAGAAAAAGTAAGGCAAAATTGAAGCCGTTTTCAGTTTTTCAGGGCTTTTCTTCATCATATTAAGAGAAAAACCTAACATTTGCCATAGTCTTGTCTTCTCCAAACCATCACCTACCACACGTCATCTTGCACCTTAGCTAAGAGCTGTGTTATGATGGGTCAGAATCAAAGGACTCGCTAGAAAAAAAAAATGCAATATTTACAATATGCTAAAAGGCTACCTGGGCACGGCTAAAATAGGTGTGTAACCACCTCTCCTTTGCATATTTAATAACTGTGCCCCGAAGAGGAGATGCTGTGTGTGAGGGCACACTTTGGGTCGCTGCAGTGAAGCGTCCTGCCCTGCAAGGCATCACATCTGAGCCTGGGGAGCTGCATGCACACACACCGTGTTGTCCCCTGCATACAGCAATCCTTCCAAATGGATGTCTCCCCTATACCAGCACTCCAAAAAATAAGAGACATCCCTGCAAACGCCACGCTGGGGCTGTGAAAAGATAACCAGGGACCAGGATGTGAGAGGGTATATTTTGCATGATGTGGGTGTCCCCCTCACATGCACCCATTGGGGTAGTACGAACGTGCAGAGCGAAGGCGGCTGCAGTGTGATTGTCAACTGGTTTTCCATTTGTGTAACTAGCAGCAGGCTTTGGCCATGTGTAGATAAACAGCCTTACCTGCAGAGTATAATCCCCTTAGGCAGTGTAACTGCATTTCTAGGTTCACATGTCTCACATGCTTTATAGCTTCGGGCCATCTTCTGTTATGTGATAGGAGAGATTACAGAGGTTAAATTTGGACTAATGAAGTTCTGTTGAAATAAGCTTGAGTCGTCTAGTGCCGACAAGAAGTTTAATATAAAATGGCATTCATGGGCAGGAGGAAAATAAAGGCTCTGCCAACCTGAAAGAGATCACTGCAAAACTATTTCTCTTCTGCCAGCGCTTGCCCAAGGTAACAGGAGTCATGGAGGAGTAATGGGCAGACGCAGCTCCCAAACTCACGGGCCCCTCTGAAAACCGGTTGTGTGTCAAAGGCGCTACACAAATATCAGGCGTAATTAGTCAGGGATGGGCAAGAGGGAGCCCCCTTTCTCTTAATCTTAGCAGCTTTGCATAGATGTCATTAGGCTTCATCCACTTAATAGCATTTGATACACCTTGATTTTTTTCCAGTCAATGGCAATTAAAGATTAATGATTTCTTGCTGTAATAAACACTCTTCATGTTAATAACCGAACATCAGAGCATGAGGCAATGAGGTTTTAATATAAGTTGTCCATGAAAAGTAATGTTAGAGTTGCTGTGAATAATTAAAACTTGCTAAAGGCCACCCTCCAACGAATCTCTCTCCACCGGAGCAGGTACTCGCTATCCTGCCTAACAGGTGTTAAATGCTTTACTCAACGTATGTGTTTTACCAGCAGAAATTCAGCTTTATCTAAATGTAAATTGAATGACTGCAATTTTAATTTGGATTCATCTATGTGGGAAAGAGAAGTCAAATAAAAAAGCTGAAAGTTAAACAAATTGCTTTGGTTTTCATTTTTGACAATCAATTTTAAATTAATGCTGCATTTACATAATACTATATTTATTTAATGTTGAAAATCTCTTTCAATTAATGTTGTATTTAATTTTATTTTGATTGGATAGTATAGTCACATCATGTTGTTGAAACTAAAATATTCAGTGCTTCATAGTAATGTTTTATATCTCTTCTGTAATAAATTTCTACTGTGAAATGTGTTTTTTGTATTCAGTTAATAAATTCCTACAGATTTGGATTGAAATTAAAAAAAGAATTAAAAGTATTTATTTATTTATTTCAGAACTTTCTTTTCTAAGAATTTTCTTTCCTAAGAAACTGAGGCAGTCAAAAGAGGCCAGAAAATGCAAGAACCACAGCTCCCTGTGCAGAGCTCTGCTCTTGTCTATTTGAACTTACCACGTTACTGTCACAGGCAGATAAGTGACCAATTCTTGCTGCAGTAAACAGACTTTTCCATTAACTCAATATCCCATCTCTCTGACACTGAGATTAAATTTTGCTGCCAGTGAAAAGCAATGTTATGGCTACTGTGAATAATTCAGACTTACAATATCCCTCCCTGCATGCTCTAATATGCACACTTCCATATTTTGTCAGTTGACATCCACTTTTGTGATTCAAGAAATTACTTCTTGTAATAATGTCTCATTCTTCAGACCATTGTGATTGCTCTTCAGGGCAAGGATGCCCTTCATTGCTTTGTGATCCCACTGTTTGATTTATTTCCCCAAATGCATGATTGATATATGCAGGTAGACAGCCTCTGTCATCATGGTTTCTCATAGAAAGGCATTTAGCGACTCTCCATTCCCTCATCTCATTGAAATCCATGTTTCCCAGCCTTTTCAAAATGGGCTGGTTCCCAGTCCCAGGTTCTCCAGCGGCTGTAGTGTTGCCCACCCGACAGCAACTGGCACATGAACAAACTCTGGACTGTGCACACCACAAGTCCAGTCACACACTCCAGCAGCTTCCAGCTGGCTGGCCAATCCTCAAGTCAAACTCACCCACAACAAAGAAGACATGCAGAGAACTTCAGTTTTGTGCAGAATTTTTGATAGATGAGAATTACCATAGCATATTCCTCTGCTCCCAATCAAGATAAGAAGACCTAGTTCATCTTAAATTCTTCTCTTCACACCATCAAGAGTGTCAGGAAGTCAAACTATGTTCATGTGATATGGCGTTGGATCATTTTCTTCATGCAACCAATGTGTGTCATGGGGGATAAGATGAGGATTCTGGTATTTTGAGTTCTTTAAAAAGCAGTAAAATGAGAGAAAGATAAAAAAAGGATATTTGGCTTCCTATCTCCATGGTTCGAAAAGCCTCTTACATCAAGAACTGCTCCTTGGCTCAGAACCAGTGAGTATTCTCCTTGGAAACATGTCTCAGTAGATAGTTTTTTACTGCAGTGCTCTCAGGCCTCCCAGGCAATAGCTTCATCTCCCTCTTCCCTGACACTGCCTTTCTGCAGGACTTGTGTTTGCATGATCACTTGATGCTGTTGTCAAACTTTGTTTTTCATGGTCAGTATTTTTAACTCTGATAACATTATTTACTTCTGAAAACGGACGCCCCACTGAGTGGTATGCTCTCAAATGCTTTCTTTTCTGATAGTATGAGTAAAAAAAAAACCCAAACCAAAAAAAAAAAAAAACAAGCAACCCAACATAGGCTGATAAACTCAGCCAACCAGAACAGGGCAGGGAACTATGAAAAACCTGGTCAGAATCAGCAAAAGCTACAAAACCTAACAGCACAGGATCCTGGTCTTGGATTGCTGCAATAGGCAACAACAACAAAACCGAGGGAAAAAACAAATGACACAAAAACTGTAAGATACTACTGCTCATCTACTATGTGATCATTCCCATAGTGACAGAAAAATTGAAGATTTGTGAAAGAACCTTTCTCTCTGACTCAAATATGTTTACCCCTCAAAAAAAACCCCCTTTACTCACAAGTAGAGTTGTGTTGGAATTCAGCAATGAGCCGAGAGAATTCAGTATTCAAGATATCATTAGAAATGGTGAGATTAGCAGGGAATCCAGGCCAGAACTTGGATTTTAAGCCTCCAAGTAATCCCAAAATGAAGACCTGAGGGTTGCCTGTCAGGGAGCTGGCTGCATCCCCGATGCTCTGGGTCAACTCCACTAGCAGAGAAGGACCACAAGGCTGCAGTTTCCCTTCATGCAAAAACCTGCTGGTGATGTTCAGTTTTTCACTTTACCTCTCCTGTTTTGACAGGCTAACTATCAGCAGCAGTTTCCTCTTAGATTTATTAGGAATCCATATCAAAGACCCACAATTTCCTTTGACAATACCAGAATGGTGCAGTTTCCTACTAATCCATCACAAACCATATAATCAGCATTTGCTCTTTGCTCTCCTCGCCTACCATCTTTCAGAATCTGCAGGCATTTATTTGCTCATATTATCAGGGTTTTTTTGGGTTTTTTTCCTAGATGTCCAAACAGACCTTTGAAAAAATGTTATCTGACTGGTATTTTATTTCTTTGGACTCCTCTGGTTTTATCTATAATATCAGGTCCAAATGATACTGAAGACCTCTGCAATTTAGTCCGATATATTATCTTTGCACTAACCAGCCTATACGCTCCTCTTAGACAGTCACCACACAGAAACACAAGCAGTTAATGGACAGATTTCCAAAATTCCCTCCAGCAGACTTCACCACTCAGCAAGACTCGTGTTCCTACTCATTTGTGGTAGCAGCAGAGTCAACTTCAACGGGGGGACCAAGGACAGCCTCTTCCCAGAATGTCCCATGAGATCATAGCTCCAACACAGCTCTAAGCAGTCAAACTGGCAGGACGTAGTTGTAATGCCAGGAAACCTTGGAATTGATCCACCTGCTTATTCTGGAAAAGTGGGGACCGTTTTTTTTCCTTTCTAGTCTTGAGATGAGCACAGGCATTGCCCCACCTTCACGCACTACAGGAGTTTTCACACCGACCTCAGTGGTAGCTACCAAATTTCTCTTCTCTCCCTAAAATGATTATGCTGCACTGAACAGCAGATAATCACAGAGTCTGGACTATAGGCACACAGATTTTGTCTGGATCCCAGAACAGGCAATCTGGATTTTCCCTCCAAATACAACAGCAATATGAAATCATAATAATACTGATGTGCTTTCCATATTAGTACCAATGCTGGAACATAAACACCAACGTATCCCTCAAATTTACCTCCTTAACTACCAGGTTAATGGGGCCCATATAATCAGGAACTGTGACACACATGCAACTTCAGCTGTGCCTTGCCCGCTGCTCAGCTGGCCAAGTTGCCACTGAGACTCCCCTCCTGGCATTGAATCAGGTCCAGTTTTTCAAAGCATATAACCTCTTACTAAATACTTATATGTAAATATAATTTTATTGCCAACATGAGTAGATGAGACTTGTAAGTGGAGTGGCACATCATCATATATTTACCATGCTGAGCTCTTAAATTCTAACTATTTTGGTGCTTAAAAGAAAGAATTGAGCTTTCCTGAAAATCTAGTTGATAATGATCCTTCTTTAGCTGAAGAAGAACTTTGCAGTACTGTAAATTCAGGGCAATTCTGGAGATCTCATGTGGCATGGATTGACTTAATTTTATTTTTACCAATAGGGAGATTTAAAGCATAATACTTTCTTTTGGAATAAATTAATTTTAAGATTCTCCAATAACCAATCCATGTTAAAATTGACGCACAGAGTACATATGTTAATTTTGTCATCATATTAGAATTTATGTTTTGAATGTGTGATTGTGTATGACTCACAAACAAATATGAAAGCGGTCCCTTGTATATTTAGGGTGTTTTACATGCATAAGATATCATGTAAATTAAACATGGATGTTGTTTCTGCATGGGAAAATTTGCATACTTATATACTTTCAAACATACTACTATTTTTGCTGCATGAGGTGCAGCTACTTACTGGTAGCTGAGTAAAGTTTCAGTGTCACACCAGGCCTGTAGGGTGGTGTAGACAGTACTGAGGAAGGCAAATCTGAAGGAGGGAAAAAAATATAAGTTGCCTTGACATATTAACAGGAAGGAAAATATGGGAAGGTTGATTGAAAGAATAACAGAAAAAAGAAAAGTGGAAGTCACAGACCACTAATAAACACTTACATAGATATTGATGTATGAATACATTCACAGTGACCTATTTCTAGATATACTATTTTCTATTTCATAAATGTGCCAACTGACACACTTCGTTATTATCCCAGATCAATCTCACCTGGCTCTGTTTGCATCAGTTTGTTGGTTTCTTGAGGAGACACCATCTGCATCCAAAATGCATACAGGTCAGCTGTGGGAACAGAAAGACACATGCTTCGTGTCATTCAGGATATTTGTTATTTATCTGTCTACCGAGAACTGCTATATATGAGACAGCTCAACAGACAGAGTCCCTCACCCAGTACTTCCAGTGGCATATAAAAATGTCAGGATGAAAAAGGAAGGACAAAAGCTGTACTTTGCTAGATCTTGAAAAGTCATGGGCTAGGGAAAGGTAGGATTTAAAGAAGGTATGTTTAGTGGAGACCAAGAGAAGCAGTTTTATATTGCTTTTTCACAAGTCTGCTCACCGTGTTTGGAGCAAAATGTGAGTGAAGACCCTGGGTGGCAGAGGTGTCTGTGAAGAGCAAGGCTTAGTTTTTCCCCAAAGGGTACAAAACTACAGATGGACCCTATAACTGATTTTAGCACTTCTACAATAAAAAAATCTACTCACTAGTGACCCAGAGTGGGTCTCCCTGAAGGGCCTCCCAACCTCAACCTCAGAGATGTGGTTTTAGCTTTTGGCCAAACCCCACCGCTAGCAGGGTAAAGCTGGTGTCAGTCCTCCTCGCCATACTCACTGGGGCTGGGCTGCAGGCCTGGTGAGGGGGCTGAGATCCCCACCGCAGTCGGAGGGGGTCCGGCCGTGCCTTGGGGTCTGGAAGCATCCATGTGTGCTGATAGAAACCCTGATCCTTTTGCTGCAACCGTCTTTGGCCATGGTGGAAACGTTATGGTGGGGATTTCCTCCCCTTTCTGGGCAAGAGGGATCCTGGTAGCTGGAGAAGCAGGAGAGACACAGGGAGGGCACCAGCAACACACTGTGGGTGCTGATGCCCCACGGCAGCAGTGAGCGTAACACTCTGAGGGACAATAATATCTAAAATACACCCAGAAAATCCCATCTACTCCTTGAGTGTTTCCTCTGGCAGGTGAGTGACCACCTTTCCATTTAATTTTTAAAATTATGTGGTTTTTTTCTTTCCAGGAAAACATGGGGAGTGCCAATAAAGTTTGAATTTTAACTGAGAACATTTTAATGTGCCAGTTTTCATAAACAAAAAAAGAAACTGAAATGTTTCTTCAAAGCTTTTTTTCTTCTTCACATTATAAAATTATTTTCTATTTCCTAAACTGCTTCACTACAGAGGAGAGACAGGAAAGCTCTTGTCTGTGTGAAGGGGAGCGGGCAGGTACTGGAGGGCAGATACTGGCATTTGAGAACTGATGACATTTTGCGGCAGGAGTGACACTCGGGGCTGGAAGAGATAACAAAGGTTGGTATGTGGTTGAGCAGAATAAAAGAGCTTATAAAAAGACAGCAGACTGACTAGGGAAATGTAGAAATTTTGTTGTAGACATGCAGCTGCAGTGATGAGGAGGTATGAAGTAAAATTCTGAATTTCTCTTTGCTGTTACTATGTGCAAGCAAGTATGAAGACTTGCTTTTCTGCTTCCAAAATGAGGCAGACTAGCACTTTTCTATCTTGTAGCCTTGTGGCAAAGCTAAATGCACTGAAGTTTATGAAACATTGAGGTACTCACAACCGAATGTCATATAAAGTGAAAGATAAAGAAAAAAAAAGAAAAAAATTACAATAAGAAAGAAGAAGAAACAGTTTGAACAATCTTTTTCTTAGTTTAAAATCAACAACTTTTTTTTTTTTCACTTTTCTGCCTCCTTAGAAAACTTCTTTTTCTAATAAAATGGCAAAAAAAAAAAAGGGTTTTTTACAATAGTTTTTCTATCCTCCAGCTATTCAGTGCATTACTGACCTGATCTTCTGATATTTAGGACAAGTTTTTATTTTAGTCTGTAATTATAGTTCAACATCACAGTGCTGCGCAGCAAACATACACGATCACTTGTCAAGACATTAATCAAGGAGAAGATAAGTTTAGGTCTGACAATTTTTGCTCACTTTTAAATGTCCACACATGTTCTGCTGATGGATCCACTGTTTTGTTTGGATCTTCCTGTAATTTCATGAAACTTGAAAAAATCGAATCTAGATCTTTGAGGTATGAGAAGATAGGGTTAGTATGCTCATCATCCATCACATATTGTGTGATAAAAAGGAAAGAAATCAGGTTCTGGTATAAAAGAAACAGCTGTTGTCCTTTTAAATAAAAGTCAGTTTTGGCAAAAAAGTCTTTGATTATTATTTTTTTAAAAGACTGAAACATCCTACAGCTTTTGGCACAGGTAAACTTGCGATGGATTTCACCGCCTGCCTGTTTTAATCAAGCACTGAAAATGAGAAGTGGTCATGGGCAGCAGTGAGGGGAAAGCATCTGAAGTGCAGCTCAACCTGGCAAAGCAGCTTTGGGCGGAGGAGCCGCGCGGCACACTGGCTGAATACGTTCAACTCCTTTCTGAAGGTAACTCATGTAAGGGTAGGAGACAGTTTGTGCTGAGATTTAAGGGAGGCTCCCCAGTCCAGTGCTGAATTCTGTAAAAGCTCTCATCCCAGGAGGTTTTGTTCATTCCTCCACTAGAAGACCTCGTAGCTAATAATTTAAGAGTTTGTAAATTTTACATATATTTATAATATAAATATTATATTACAGTTATAATAACATAAAATATTGTTCTATTTTAATTATAATAAAATATATGATAATGTGTAAATATATATAAGTAATGCAATGTAATGTAAAATAGTATTTTAAAAAAATTTTTACATGATGAAGATGGAGTATTCATTGCAAGTGCTACCTGGATACGGTTTTCATTGTTGTTGCTGTTTCCTTTTATTGCCCAGGATGTACTTACCCAGGTCAGAAGATGTGTTACTGGAAAATGTGTAATTAATAACAGGAGACTTCTCCAGCATTTCCCAAAATTCAGACAGATTTCTTCCTGCAATTAGAAATGCTTATAAATATCAAGAAACACTTGTTTCTAGTATAAGTCATCACTGAGAGTAAATAGGGCAATATTTTCGGGTGGGACGGTTTTAACATCTACCTGTTTGCCCTGCCATCACACAGATGTAGATACAATCTGAATCATTGCTCTGACGCACTGAAAGGCAAAAAAATGTAAAACAGTTCATTGTTACTAGCTTTCATTATATGATATTATCTTAAACAGTTGAAAACACAAACACAAAATGGTATGTGGCTACTACAACTGGCCAAATATTTTCCTTCTGATCTGATTTTTGACAAAAACCTTGAACCGGCACCAAATCCAAATGCTAATATTTCCTAGATAGAGAATATAGAAAATAGAAAATGTTTCTATCCAATTAAAATTCTAAATTACAAGCATTTTTACATGGATAAAAAATATTCAGATAATATACCCCATAATTATTCTTTGGGAATCATAATTCTCCAAAATACCAATATTTAATCATAATTCACCAAATTTTCAAACAAAACATAGCTGCTCCTAGAAACATGGTATCTCTATATTATATATATACACATTATATATGTATCTTGTTCCTCTAAGGAGACTTTGTTTACAACTGCAGTCCATGCTTTGCAAGCAAAATGCTGCTGAGTAAGAGCAAGCAATAGGCTTTTATAAAAATGTCTATGCTTGTTTCCATGCCAGGAGTAAATCAGACAAATAAGACAATGATAAATGTTAAACTGAAATGCAAACCTGAGAGAATAGAAGTGGATTTGAAAATTTCTGTGAGATAACTGGTGGAGTTTCCAATAATATCAACAAGTAAAGCTGTAAAATCTAGACAACAAAATAGAGAAAGTTTATGATTTAAAACGCATATTCTATCGACTATGCTAAGTCAAAAAATCACTTTTATATGTGATCATATTTTGGATATATGCTTGTATGTGACAATGTTTAAAATATTTTAAAGTTGAGAATGTTTCTGCTGAATGGGAGTGGACTTAAGAAGCCACTGGAATACTCTGCAGAAGTATATTTCAAAGATGATAACCAAAATAGCACTAATATGCCTAAAAGTAAACTTCAGTGGAATTTATCTCTTCAAGAGAACAATTTAAAGTAACTTTCTAATTAGTCTGCTTAAATATAGAAGGAGAACCAAAGCTTGTAGGCTTTGCCTGCACTAACTGCCTATCTGCCATGTAGGACCTTCCAGGAGGCATCTGCTTGTCTCCTCTGAGGTCTACTTCAGACATACCGATGATGATGTCAGCTCAAAAAATGGCTAGTGGTGGTGGTGTTATGACTTTTTCATAACAAGTTCTAGCAGTAACAGGTCAGTGTTCTCACTTAAAGAGTGACAGACATGAGCCCTGTGTTGGGCACTCAATTTCTACTACTTGCGAGGATGCTCTAATCACCAAGATATTCTGGATTTGGTGCAGAAAAATTAAAGTTTCTCCATTATCCTCCAAGGCAGACTGGGTCATTATGCAATAAGGCTTGTGACGTGTGGGTCCAGAAAAAGCCTTGAAAGCCATTGTGGCTCATGTGTGTGGTCATCACATGCAGCTTAGAGGGCATGGGTTCTGGTCCCTAGCTGCTGAGCTATTCCTGATATATTACATTAACCAGCCATAGAATTAGAGTGCTCAGACCCATCCTGGAATGTTAAGTACTGTGAGGTCAGGGATGTGAATGAGGATTATAGGTGAAGGATTTGCCCAACAGCATTTTGCACTCCATTAAACAGGTCTATGAAGACATTAATCCTTGCTTTTCACTCCTGTTGGGCTCATTGAAGTTATTGGAGTCTATTGGTGCAGAGAAGCCCTTGTTCATCTCCTGTGGGTTATCTCAGGAGAGTGAAAGTGGCTAAGGTAATGCATCATACATTGCTGGGTTTTGTCTCCTTCGCTGCTCTTTGTACTCTGAGGAGGAAAGGGACGTCTTTCTGCCAGGTAAACCACACCGGTCATTTGACTGATGGCTCCATCCCAGACTGGCTGGCTGGGTGCAGCAACCTGAGACTGAGTTCATCGACTCTCCCCCAAGGTTCAGAGCAGCCACTTGTCGTGAGTAATGGCTGTTGACCTCAGTACGGTGATGCTGCTCGTAAGGATGAAGTCTGAGAATTCAGGCTACAGCTTTCAGCTCCAAAGGAAATAATTCATCTTAACCACATGCAATTGCCAACCTCTCTTGTGTACCCACCTGTCAAGTCATTTGTCACATTGTTCAAACAGTAGCAGTAATGCATAGGGAACTTGCCACGGTCAACATTTTTCACGTTAGAAACTGTAAGGAGAGACAGAGAAAAATCAGTATCTTGATGCACAGGCTGTGTGAGAGAAAACGCTCCTGCGCGAAGCAAAGCGCCGAGACACTCACTGTTATAAATGGTGACTGACACTTTGTGGAAGGCAAATGAGCTGTAGGATGTGACACTCAGCAAAGAGAAGAGTTTTTTGGTACCTGCAGAAACACATGCCCATGCTATTAGCTGTTGGAACAAATTATGACAACAGCATGTTTTTACTCTGCTCATTTAATTTCTAAAAGACTCCTGAGGTGCTGATACTATACAGCTGCCCAAGACTCAATTCTTTCTCATTTCCACTGAGGGAAGGATCATTTGTATTACTTCTTCTTTTTTTTTTTTTTTAATTCAAACCTACACTGGATTATAAAGTGCTTTCTAAAGGCATCCTATATGCCTGTGTCTATATATAAACACACACTATTTTCTAAATTCTTTGGGACAGAGAGCTATCTGCATTATAAATGCACAAGGGTAACTTGCTCCTAGAATCAATTCTGGAGGCAGACGGCATGTATTTATGGCTTCTTCTGCTAACACCGTTAGTCCTTTATCTCATTCACCGCCGGGCTGACAGCCTGCGTGACCTGCCCGGCCTTGTCGCATTACCTCTGAGCGCTGTGTTCAGCATACCGTTCACCAGCTCTGTCAGATTAATAGCAGCTAGATCCATGGACTTCGCAGGAAGCTCTGAAAAAGAAGGGATCTCTGAGCAGTTGGCTGCATGAGGGTTTAAGGAAATGGCCGTTAATCCCCTGCTATATATGGCAAAAAAGCTTCCAGAATGGGAAAAACAAATTGAGCTGATTATGTATCGGGGTGCACTGAAAAACTGTGGTGAGAAAATAAAGATGCCAGGAATGCAGAGACGAGTCTGGAAAATAACAAGATAAAGTGGGCAGTGCAACGGTAGGCCAAAATTCAGGTCGGGCTCTATGTTGCCTGTTGCCTTGAGCACGCCCTTGAGCAGGCTGCCAGGGAGGCGAAGCCAGCCCTGAAGTTCTGGTGCCCCCTCGTGCTGGGCAATGTGTATTTACTGCCAAAATTGCAGCAGATCTCTCTTTGCAGATCACAAACGGGAGAAAGTACCTGGGAAATGTTGCCCCTTCCCCAGTGCTACACAGAACTGGGATAAAAAATGCAGATTTTTTTTTTTTCCCCCAGCTACCTTGATGGCTATATTGCTACGACAGAATAAATTGACTGTAGCTGAATCACACTTTTTATTTTAACGTTTTCTTTCTGTTGACATTGCTTATTTGCTTTTCCCACGTCAAAATTTCCAAAGATGTTATTTTGCTTCCCTCCCGCAAAGTCATGCAGAAGCAAAGCAGTATGGTGTCTCTGTGTGCGTGCCAGGTGGAAGATCTGTGTGTGCATGACAGAGAGAGAAAAAACAGAGCAGGACGGAAAAAGAAGCACAGAAAGCCAAGATGAGAACAAAATCAAATTTAGGGAGAAATGCAGTTTTCCAATGACATCAGTATTATTTTTAACCAATTTGAAACCAAGCTGCACCCCAGGGCTGGAAGCAGGGCTTGTCCACAGCGTAGAAGAGAGGAAAGGAAAACCAAAAGGGAATGGAGAGCTGGGAAGGAGAGGAAGGAAAAAGAGAAAACAACACTTTAGATTCCTGGAAGGATGGAGGTTAAACCGGCCAGAGACCTGGGTTGTGTGAGGAGCTCTTGCAGCAGTGGTGGGTTGGGGCTCACAGACTCTGCAGGAGAAGAACCCATCTGCCACCGCCTCCGTGTCCAGCACAATACCTCCCACTCCCATTAAGACCCCACACAGGGCCTCCTGACATGCTGCTTGTTACCTGCGGTAGCCAGCACTGCCACTTGCTTCTCTTTCTTATTTTCTCTTCTTATGCATGAAGCTGTGAAGTGAAGAACGAGACTGAGAAACAGTTTTCCCTGTTGAGCTACCAAGCAACTCTCTGTTGAGCTCTCCGCCTGGGTTACTTTGCTGCTTTCATTCATTTTAGCTCAGAAACCTATGGACATTAGCACTGCAAAGCAGGCCGCTGTGTATTCACAACAGCAGCTGATCAAGTGCCTAAGAATAAGGATTTCCTAAAGGACTTGCCAGGTCCTTTAGCTGCCAGCTAAAGAAAGAAAACAGATTAAATATCAGAGCTTGCCCCCTTAACTCAAGAATCAAAAGAAAAAAAATAGTAGCAAACTGTTGTAGAGGTCTGCACTAGGCTTGCACGCAACATTGACTGCAAGGTACATAGTATATTAAGGCCAAATCTAAATGAAACTTCACAGGCTGTGTGCATGTTTGTTATTCAGAGCAGTCATTCGACTGAGTACTGTTCTCAAGAGCTGTGTTGTGAGAGGAATGAACTGGATCTGGGTTCAGGAGCTTGGACTTGCTTCCTGGGATTCCCTCGGTGACCAACAAGGGCAAGGTGCAGAGCAGCGATTTAGACATCACAGGACAAGTTGAAGTGCAGGAGTTTGGTGTTTAGGCTCCCTATCCTATCAGTGGAGAGCTGAGTGCCTCCAAAGAGTAATCCATAAGGCTCCCCAAATGAGCCACTGCTAGCAAATGCTAAACTCCCATATCCCGCTGAAGCTTCAGCTTCTCAGTCCATCCAAGCTCCCCAGAGAGAAGTCCTCTCCTGGGAGGTGGTGGTGAGGAGGGCTTACCTCAGTGGTGGTAATGCCCCCCTCTGTGTTATAACCTAATGGGCAGAGCTCTTACCAGGGAGTAGGAAACCTGGGCTCAATTTCCTCTTCAGCAAGAGGAAAACTGTAGGACTGGAAGCAGCAAAAGAAAGAGGAGATGTGACTGCATGATCTGGCTGTTTGTAGCTAAAATTGGTGAAACCTGAAGGCTTGTCCTTATTCGTACAAAAATCTATGCCTTGTACAGGAGACAATCCCTGGATACATTTCTCTTTCTCCTTCTCTCTTTACATGTATATAAAGGAAAAATACCCTCTAGAGAATCCATGGTACAAGGCCTGTAAACCGTGAGTCCTCATACAGTGCTAGTCAGCTGTATTAACAACTCTCACTTAGTATGAGCTAAATTTGGACTGACAATCTAGGTGGTAGGAGCTCTTCTAACCCCTCTCTCTCTTTCCATATAAACCCTTCTGACTCCAGATTCATGGCATGGGAGCCAAGAGCAGACCTTTGCCATCATCTGGTCTGCTCTGCTGCATGGCAGCAGCCCTGGAGCTCCAGCCCATCAGCCTTGCCTACGTGGGTTGAAAGAAACAAGTGTGACACAGATGTGGGAATGGGGCTATGGGAGCAATTGGGAAAGAGACACTTGGGTTATTCCCTGAGGAGCACCAAACCATTGTCCTTACCTGTGTTGCAAACCAGAAAGAGACACAGAAATCCCAGGCTCATCTTCGCTGGCACATGCCAGCAGAACAACTGCATTGTGGACTCTCACTTCCAGCAGCTTGGGCTGCTCTAGGAGAAAGAAATACTATTTTGGTGGTGTTAAAGTTTGTGGTATTGTGCGATTTTGTCCAACCCCTGTCCCAAAATGATGTTTACCATGAGAGAATTAGCTCTCTGGAATGCAGAGAAAAGATTGCTGGTGTAAATGGCAAAGAATCAGAAATCACACAGTCAGTATTTTCTGCATATGCATGTGTCATGAGTTTAGTATGTAACTCTTGATTTTTGAGTCCTACGTAACTGTAGCTTTGGTGGGACTTGGTAAGGTCGCCTACACGATCCTCTTCTCTGGCAGGATGACCTGTGCCCAAAGGACACTGACACATCAGACACCTAAACTCTTCTGTTGAAACAAGATAAAATGTACTTACGTTCAATTTCAGACCAGATATCAACTGAGCTCCTTTTCTGCACAAATGTTGCTTGCCCGGTCATCCCAGTCTTGTATTTCTATAGTTAATTACTGTCACCAAGCTGTGTCCTGTGTTGCCTTGCCTAGTTGCTTGGGAGGGATTAATGGTGCTGTCTTTCAGACAATGAGCTGCTTTCCAGGTTTAAAAGATTTAATTAGAAGTGGTTAGAAAAAAAGAAGGAAAGTCCTTGCTGCTTTACATGTTCCCCCGTTCTTGTAATATTGGAACACGCCAAATAGCTCTGTAATTGTCAGAAAATGAGGGAGCATATGAAAATTAGCAAAAAAAAGTAAAAAAATTTTTTTCATATCCTCTTGGAGTAGCTAATCTTGCAAGTATGCAGCAAACCATTATCTTGAAGATAATACTCTTTGATTAACAAACTATTATCATCGTGTTTAAAATCTTTGCCATATTTAATTCACTAGAGAATTTACACATTCTGAAAATAGCTAATTTGTACTTAGAAATTCTAAAGAGACTCTTCCTTGGGATGATGAAATGATACCAAGCATTTCTGTGTTTGAAATATCTGTGTTTGCTCATCTGATGAGTCAAAAGCGTTTAAGTACCAGCTCTGCTAATTCAAACAAAGCTCTGGGAAGTGTTTAGGTAGTACATCCTATCTATTCAGTCCATCTGCCTAATCCTTTTTGCTCAGCCCCAAGCCTATACTCATCCACAGTTTCTGCACAGCATGTGCAGAAGAGCAGGGCTGAAGCAGAGAGAAAGCCATGGCCAAATCTCACTCCCCAGACTTCATACTGCATCACCTTTCTGTGAGCTGGACTAATTATGCATGGACACAGTCCAGTGACCTGTGGACCAGCCTAGCATCAAAAATCCTAAGCTTGGCTTTCCTTGCAACAATATTTGGGATCTGACCAACAGCTAGACTGCAGACCATGAATGTATTGCTGGCATGAGAATCACAGGGCCTGACACACAGGCAAGGCTATTCCTGCTTCTACTGTCCAGTACTACGAAGCTTACTGGGACTTGTAACAGCTTTTTCTATGGATCTGTGGACCCTGTAGTTAGCAGAGACTGTTGCATGGTAGCTCAAGCCTGCTAACGTGTTGATGTGATGGAAGCAGTGGTGATGTAGTCTGCACTGAGGTAGGTATAAAAGTAATCCATGCAGCTGGATTTTGCTCAATTTTTTTTTTTTTCCTTTTTGGTTTGACTGTATGTAATGGAGAGGCATTAGTGAGAAATACTCCTCAGTGGTGCTGAATATGAAGAACTGGTGCTTTGCAAAGGTGTGGGGAGGTGGCTGTTGGGGAGAGCAGGCTCTGGGGTCAGCTGAGGTTGTGGAATGGGGCGATCACGTCAAGGGGAGGTTTGTAACTATACATGTATTGGAGCAGGAAGGCTATAGTGGCTGGTGCACCTAGTCAATTAAGTGTCCTGGCAAGGGGGAACTGTTGGGTTGTGTGTTTGAATGAGGTCAGCAGTGTGGTGATTTGCTGTTTTTTTAATAGAACTTCATGAATTTTTATTCCTGTACTATGAGAGGTGACTGCCTCCTTAGCTCTGGAAGATCTACGTTACGACGAGCCATGTTTCATGATGACGGTTCAGTGTTCATGGGCTGCAGACCTCCCCCTGAGCGTGTTCCTCATGACCCGTTCCTTGCACGTAGGGTATGATCAGGCTGCATGGCCAGTGCTGTCTCTGTGTATGCCGGCCCAAGGGATATCAACATGAAACATGGCCAACAGCAGTGCTGTCACCATACTGTCCCTGTGGCATAAGGCTGGTCGGCTAGAGGGTATCTGCAGCCCAGACTGGCAAAAAAGCCCAAACCTCTGTCCTTCATGCAGATTTTGGCTGCATGGCAAGTGAGAGACCCAGACCTAGGAGGTGGGAGAAGAGGGTGTCCCCTGCCCCATTTTCAGTCTGCCTCTACAGATCGATGGTCAGTGCTCGTGCCAGAGTGGGGAGACTTGATTTCCAGGACCTGCTTTGAGGAACATGGGTTCTCCTGGGTCACCAGTGGATAACACTTGGACTAACACCAAAATCTTTGGTGTCTGTAAGAATATTTCAGACTGATGTGTAAGCACAGCTGTTCTACAAAGGTTCACAAGTGTTGACAGACTGTAGATAATTTCCTATCAGGGATATAACTTTATTACTGATTTATTTAAACTGGCCCAGAGCTGTTCATTGTGGCAGGATGGGGAAAATCATCTGACAGAGGACTCGGTGCAGCATGCTAGGGCAGGGGCTAGAGAGAGCACATTCCCAAGAGAGAGAGAAGGTGCAATAAGATTGACAATGAGGGAACTGTCTTACCAAAGCACCTTAGAGGAGAGAGAGAAAGAAGGAAAAAAGAGCTGTAAAAGCAGAAACAAAATAGAAAGAGAGTGAGAGACAAAGTTGTGCTTGGAAGCACCCCATGCACATTGAGAGATGCTTTCTCACGCACCTGAATTTGCAGCTCCCTGCTGTCCTCCCCACTGAGCTGCTCCTCCACGCTAACCAACACACACGATTTTCTCCACATACAACGCTGATTTGCAGCAGGGATTCAGAGCAGGCATTAGTGTGGCCGTAACATCCCACATTTAATCGAGGTGTGATTACACACTACAGACTCTATCAAGCAAAACATCTAACAATTGGAACAACTTTCTCACTCACCTGAATTTGCAGGAGGACAGCTCCCTGCTGTCCTCCCCGCTGAGCTGCTCCTCCACGCTAACAAACACACACGATTTTCTCCACATACAACACTGATTTGCAGCAGGGATTCAGAGCAGGCATTAGTGTGGCCATAACATCCCACATTTAATCGAGGTGTGATTACACACTACAGACTCTATCAAGCAAAACATCTAACAATTGGAACAACATGCAAACATAACCTGGAAGGATGGATCATAATAAGCCAAATCTTGTTCTACTTCTAGCAAAGAAATATTAAATAATGTTGGTATAAAATGATGGAAAATCCTCCATTCATGGGAGGGCTTCTTTTGCCTGAATTTCAGATCTAGCACTGTGGTGGTCTCTGGCCAGTACAAGGTGCTTAAAGAGAAATTGCAGAGAAACCTCAATACTAAGAACATCGCTCTAGAAAGGACTGCTCTTACTCCTCAGTAGGTAGAGACTGATTTAAATTTGAAGCATTAAGTTTTAGCTGCTTTCCAAAATCTTTTCCCAGCATTACCTCTCTGAACATTTATGCTGTCCAATTAAATTTCGAAGCCATCTGTGACAAATACTCCTAGAACTGCTGCTTGAAAGCTCCTATCTTTCAGCAATGTGGATATTAGAAATATTAACTGTTATGATACACATCATGTTTGCGTTACTCGTTAACTGTTATCTAATTTTTATCTACCAAAGACAAGTCTTTATTATTTTCTGTCTCTCTTTTGATTGCCAGCATAAGTCACACTACTGTGATGATGAAAATACGTGTCCAGATTTCAACTATGAAACCCTCATTGTACTCCAGCTCAAAATCACTAACAATTGCCATTTCAAAACATAGTGCGATTCAGAGGCACTAAAGGCACAGGTGCCACACAACCATCCCATAAAGTGACTCTCAGTGAATATTTTCCTTCCAAACATTTATCTGATACAGGCTGCAGGTCAAGCCTTTAGTTACAAATTCTCCTTCACCTCTACTGGATATGATAATCCTCTTCTTGTGCTTATTTTAAGCTGAACGATATTAGTAGAATTAATTTTACTTAGAACTCTTGATCCAGAGTTCCCTGAACTGCTGAATTGGAGATTTTAATCCCATTCAGATTACCTTTATACATTCATGAAGACCTCTTATTAAATACCTCTTAGTTATTCTGGATTAACTGCAATCTTAAACCAACATGTTTAATAGCTATGCTTCATTTGAACTAATTTTAATGTGGCAGGTAATCATGAAGTTTGAATTGTTTTCATTTTTCCTGTACAAGCAGAGTGCAATCATATATCGAGTAGTTTTCCTGTGTCTTCATGATAAACAGAGCAGAACAGAAGTTAAGAGACCAAAGAAATAAAAAAAAAAGTCCTTGAGTATTAATTTCCTTACCTTCAGTTCCAACATCTAAAGGTCATCTCTCATTTTAAGCACACCATGATGCACCAGGTCTAAAGAAATATTCCATGTTAATATGAAAATATGCCCGTGTTACAATTACACACTTCATTACATTGCTACAACTACATTTTAAGTTCAGATTTATTGTATGCAAATTTAAGCAATCATGTAATAAAAATACATTCCGTTTGCTGCTTTCCCATAGAGCATTAATAGTACAGTTGAAAAGGTTCCCTCCAAGTACACATGAAACCACCGAGATGTGGAATAGTTAATATCAACTTACTTGATTTCTCTTGACAAAGATGATTATCTTCAGAGCCTATGTAAAATTGGAGGTTATTGCCAGGCCTTAATAATCACTTTGTGAAAGACTTTGAGTAGACAGGCTTGATAATCTTGCTTTAAAATCCTGTGAAAATTGTTATCCTAATCCCAGAAAGACTAACTAGAGGTAACACAATCATAAG